CCTCGATGGAGAACTTTCTAGACCCAAGATACAGAGAAAGTTGTAACACTAGAGATCGCACAACGTGGCAAGAAGCAGTGGCAGAGGTGGCAGTAGCAGAACCTAGAGCTTTTTGGTGGGTTTCCTGGTCCACAAAGCTAGGTGTTTACAGTGGGTGTGCTGATTCATGGAGTGAGAGAGCTAAGCACCTTCAGGCAGGAGGCTTCCTAATAGAGTGGGGTGACTCTAGGCATTTCCTGGTAAAGCTAGAGAGGTTTGTAATACTTGCCCTAGAAGGGTAGAGGCTGGGCTGAGCGACTCAGAAGCCAGAGGCCAGAGAGAGGTTGTCCTACAGACACAGTTGAAAAGTTATCCTGATTTAAGAGCTATACCTGATTTATAGGAGCTCTGGTAGCATAGTGCCTAAGGCACTTGACTGTAACCAGAAGGCTGGCGGTTCAAACCCACCAGCCACTCCTCGGAAGGAAGATCAGGCAATCTACTTCCGTAGTGATACTGCCTCAAAAACCCAAGGAGTGGTTGCTATGAGTTGGGTGTGACTGGACGGCATATAACAACAACAGCAACATCCTGATTTATATCTGATCTTGAATTTTACCCTATTACTTCCCTGTGTAAGTTCTGTGTGGATATTGCAACAAAATTATTCAACCCAGCAGAGAAGATAGTGTCATGGGTTGTATAGCTGGTTTCTGAGGCAATGCTAAGTTGCCATTTTCACACCTATCGTTACATGATTAGCTCTTGTATTTCTTTAGCTTTAAGTTTGTTCACTTGTTATTTCACACTACCAAAGTCCTTCGAAAGGAAACAATATATTTAATTCATTAATGTAAATTAACAGTGTCTGGATGTGCAAAAAGTGTGTGTGTGGGGGGGCATAGGCATGCTTCTCTCAGGCCTTGGCCTCTCAGCCTTCTGGCCCCTTGACCTCTGCCTTGCTTGGGCAAGTATTGTAAAACACTTTCAGCTTTGTTAATAGTGCCCAAAGGGGCATCCCATTCCACCAGCAAGCCTCCTGCCTAGAGACACTCAGCTTCCTTCCTCTGTGGGCCATGAAGCCCACCACTTTGTCTCTTGGTTTAGCTGCCACCATTTTTTTTTTCTTTGCTGCGGCTTCTTGCTGTCTCAGTGCAGGGATCTTGGGTGCAAAGACATGCTCCACTCCTGGCTCTTCTTTCTTGATGGTAGTGAGATCCTACTTTCCATCTCTGGGTTGGCTTATTTTGAGCCAGTGGCAAAACATACCATTTCCCACATTAGGGGTCCATACCCTTATTTACATGGTCCTACTCCCACAAGGGTGCCAGATATCTCATTTATATTATTAGCAAGCTATCCAGTCCCCTTGGTGGGCCATAGACATCTGATGTTTGCATCGTTCCACCCAGTCATGTAGTGAGAGTCATGAAGAGCTATATGAAGTAATTCACCACACCACAGGCTGTGTTGACTATAAGAACAGATAGCATCTAGTGAAAACAAAGTTCAAAACTCAAAAAGTAGTGCCTATTCTAACCTGTGGTTTAACTTGTGTACCACTACTCAGATTTTTTTTTTTTATCAGAAATATCATTTATCAAGTACTTTTCTAAAACCTATAGATGATGACTCTGATGAACACAAAAATCCTACTCAATTTGAGCTATCATTTTGTTAGCTATTATATGCCTATAGTCTTTTTCCCTTCACCAAATGAAGCAGGGGATGTATACACCTCTATCAGTTAAAAGGGATATGTAGTAAATGGATCAAAGTTTTTGTGTTTAGAAAGAGAGAGTATTTGGGAAATCCTAAATGTTTCATAAAATTTTTAGTTCACGGATCATGTTCTTACTTAAGAGGGAAGAGAGGAACTTAATGTTGCTCGCATACACCAGTGTGTAAGTTTTTTTTTTTTTTTTTTTTTTTACATGTCTTATCTCCTCAAGTAGATTATAACTTCCTTGAATTGACATATAATTGTGTATTTCCCATGATAAAGG